CTGGCTAATTTTTTGATTTATTGTAGAGATGCAGTCTTGCCAAGTTGCCCAGGCTGGTCTCGAACCTGTGGGCTCAGACAGTCCTCTCACCTGGGCCTCCCAAAGTGCTGGGATTATAGGTATGAGCCACTGTGCTCGGCCTCATTTTGTAAATGTTGAATGAGGAAAGGGAATCTAGATAAGTATTTGGTTTTGGATAAAGCGTGGCATGACATGAACAATTGCTCACAAGAGAAGAAGCCAGCAGTGAGAGAAAGCCTATAAATCCAAAAGAGAGAAGGGATTGATATAACAAGTTCCTAAGAAGACCAGAGAAGGCATCGGTGTTCATTGCCTAACAAGCAGGAGCAGTTCCTTTCTTTCCTACACATGCCTGAGGCATCGAGTGCTTCTAAATGAGGTTGAAGTCCTCGTTGGACTACAGTGACCAAAAGCATGGGTTTTGTAGTAGTCCCTTATTCGCTCCTCCTAATAGTCTTTCCTAGAGACAGTGCTCTGTTGCTTTGCAGAATTTGCCGTTTTCAGTAACATCAGGTTATATCTCTTATTCTTGATTTTTACATTTTTATGTATCATTGAGAATTTTTTTAAGATGGTAGCACTTCTGCTTATAATAACAATACGTATTTCTCATTTTAGATTCGACTTCCACCTGAAGTAAATCGGATTTTGTATATAAGAAATTTGCCATACAAAATCACAGCTGAAGAAATGTATGATATATTTGGGAAATATGGACCTATTCGTCAAATCAGAGTGTGAGTCTTACTGAAACTTTTGAAATGTTATTTAAGAAAATGATTGCATAATCTATCATCTCAGAAATATAACTGACAGCGAGGCCACCTGGTGCAGTGTGCAGTGCAGCGGCCTATAGAGCCTGGAGACTAGCAGTTCGAGACCAGGGAGATGAGATGTTTTGGTAGAGGAAAGAAAACCTATTGAGACCCTAATGATAAATGTTTTGAAGAGACTGGTTGGGAAGGGAAGGAACTAACATTTATTGCATACCTACCGTTTGTAAAGCCAAGTATTACACTATGTTTTTTATATACAATAATTTTATAATTTTCTCAGTAATCATTACTGTCTCTTTTACTGGCCCCAGAATTTCTGAATAAACTGGGTAAAAGAGTGTAAAAGTTACCGAGAAAAAATGACATTTTCAAGTACAGGAAAACTCTAATTACAAGAACTCATGTTTTAATTTAATAAAAAGATTAGTGCTCATACTTTCAAGTGATATTTATTCAAGTGATATCTACTAAGTACTATGTACCATAACAAGTGCTATTAGCCGGGCTCGGTGGCTCAGCCCTGTAACCCCACATTTTGGGAGGCCGAGGTGAGTGGATTGCCTGAGCCCGCAGGTTCGAGACCCACCTGGGCAACTTGGCGAGACCTCATCTCTACAATAAATCAAAAATTAGCCGGGTGTGGTAGCACGCACCTGTAGTTCCAGCTACTTGGAAGGCTGAGGTGGAAAGATCACCAGAGCCCAGCAGGTCGAGGCTGTGGTGGCCGGGAACGGCCACTGCACTCCAGTCTGGGCGATGGAGTGAGACTCCAACTCAAAAAAAAAAAAAAAAAAAAAGTGCTTTTATTTTATTTATTTATTTAATTTATTGCTGCAGCCTCAACTTCCTGAACTTAGGTGATCCTTCTGCCTCAGCCTCCCAAATAGTTGGGACTACAGGTGTGTACCATCATGCCTGGCTAATTTAAAAAATTTTTTTGCAGAGATGAGATCTCACTATATTTCGAACTCTTGGGCTCAGGCAATCTTCCTGCTTCAGCCTCCGAAAGTGTTGGGATTACAGGTGTGAGCCACTGTTCCTGGCAAGGTGCTTTTTTTTTTTTTTTTTTTTTTTAATGTTTATTTAGAAAGTAAGTTGGAGAGAGAGAGAGGAGATTCACCTTCCCAGGGTAGGGGAGAGGGCCAAAGCTTAAGAGTACATGGCCAAACCACAGCTTAGCAAGGCAATGGCCAGCAAGGTGCTTTTATTTGTATCAAGAAAATGACAGCCCTGAGAGTAAAAGTACCTTTCTAGTTTTACAATATTAAGTGATAAAATCTTCTGACTCTAAATTGAACCTCTACCCTACAAGGTACCATAGCCTCTGCCACCCTAGCCTAGTTTAAAGGGCTGACGACTTGAGAGTCCTTCTGAAGATATTTCTAAAACTTTCAATTTTGGTCAGAATATTTCTTTTTATTTCTTTTTTTTAATATAAAGTAGGAATTTATTGAAAACTCTCGGCAGCAGGAGGGGTCCTGAAGAGTTGCCCCAGAATGTTTCTTAATAAATGCTCTTTTATGGCCTAAGAGCCCCTTCCTGGCTTTTAGGACTGAGATCTTGAGGGATCTCCTTTTGAATGATCACCATGTTGCCAGAGAGTAAAACACGAGCCAGGAATATGTCATCATTTGTTCTCAGATGGGGACAAAAATGAAAGTGTTATAGACCAGCCGTCCTTTTTAGGAAGTCTCAGTCCTTTGAGCATCTGATAAAAGTTTTGGGCTGGGTGCAGTGGCTCCCGTCTATAATCTCAGCACTTTGGGAGGCAAAGACAAGAGGATTACTTGAGCCCAGGTGTTTGAGACCAGTCTAGGCAACATAGCAAGACTTTGTTTCTATAGAAAATATAAAAATTAGCCAGGCATGGTGGTGTGTGCCTGTAATCCCAGCTACCCTGGAGGCTGAGGCAGAAGGATCGCCTAAGCTCAGGAGGTCGAGACTACAGTGAGATCCCAACTTAGAAAAAAATGCCTGTGGTGGTGGCTCATGCCTGTAATCTCAGCACTTTGGGAGACCCAGGCAAGAGGACTACCTGCATCCAGGGGTTTGAGACCAGCCTGGGCAACTTGACGAGACCTTGTCTCTACAATAAATCAAAAAATTAGCCGGGTATGGTGGTGTGCACCTGTGGTTTCAGCTACTGGTAAGGCTGAGGTGGAAGAATCAACTGAGGCCAGCAGGTCGAGGCTGTGGTGGCTGTGAGCGTGCCACTGCACAGCAGCCTGGGTGACAGTGAGACTCTGACTCAAAAAAAATTTTTTTTGAACTCTCCACTGAAGAACAAAGGAGTCTAGGTTAAGAAACCCTGTTCTACCTAACACAAAGAGTGGTATACAGAAGACCCCTGTCTCGGGGACCGAGAGACAAGATTCTGCTTCAGGCCCTGTTACTAGCCACATGTATGACAAGTTGCCTAGCTTTTGGGGTTTTCTTTTCGTATATAAGATAATCTGGATGATGCCCTTGTAGCTTTTAGGGTGGAGGCAGCATGGATTGGTTGTAAGACCTGGGTTCAAATACTAGCTGGATACTTGCTAGTTGTGTGAAACTGTGCAAAACATTTGACCTTATCTGACCTTCAATTATCTATGAAATACACATCCTTATGTTCCTGTCTTAAAACAATGCTGGTTTGGATCAGATTAGACAGTGTCTGTGAAGGTACTTTATCGCTATGTCTTTTCCGGTGTATGTTGGCCACCCCTTCTATGTATTTCTCTTGTTAACGTGGTTTTGCTGTTTTGTGTGTACTCTTCTGTCTCTCCTGGCCATCTGTGAGCTCCTCCAGGTCTGGTGCCGTATATTCTTTCTGCTTTGTGTTGACAGCACTTGTGCCTGATATATGGTAAACACCCCATGTAGTTAAGTAAATGAGTAATATGGAAAAGAGTAGTGTGATTGTGACTGATATATGAGGGCATCATAAAGTGTATTGATGGTACTCACTTAAGAGTTGCTTTAACCAGCAAAGGTAGAGACTGTTTCAGAAAACCAAAATGAAAGGACAGGCACAGCAGGGACATCTCCCGAGGAGTGCAGAGCAACTCGGGGCCTTCAGGCTTCTAGTCCCTCCATCTGAAATGGTTTTTACCTGTTTATCTCTTACCTGGCTCCTCCTCACTCTTCAGGTCTCAGTTTCAGTGTCACCTTTTCAGAGAGGTTTTCTCTGACCACCCTAGCTAAAGCAGCTCCCGTTCTTCCCATTCGTCTCTGCTACAGCTGTCTACTTCCTGTATAGCATTTCTCGTGATCTGTCATTATTGCGTATCTGTTTAGTGTCTTTCTCCTGCTTGAAAAGCTTGAAGGAAGTGATGATGCTTGTCTTTTTGCTATTGTACTTCTAGTGCCTGTCACACAGAAAGAACACAATATATATTTGTTGAATAAATTAATAAAAGTTGCGGGTGCAGAAACTTGGGTCATTATTGTAGATTGAGAAACAGCTGTTTTTCTGTCCCATAACTGTGAACATACTTTATCATACTTGGCACTTGGCACTTGTGACCAATATTCCCAGTTTGCCCAGTAGCGAGAGGTTTTCTGGGACACAGGACTTTCAAGGATGACTAAAACCACATGTAAGGTAGGGCACATGGCAGAGCTGATGTCACCATGACACATGAAGCAACCGAAGCCCAAAGAAGCTACGTTACATGATTAGGTTTTCTTATTCCTACTCTGAACTTTTACCATCAATCAAGAAACCAGTGTTAGCTCAGTACCTAGTACATAGTAGGTACCAAACATGCTTTTAAAAATGAAAATTATAAGCCAGGCTCGGTGGCTCAGCCTGTAATCCCGCGCCTTTGGGAGGCTGAGGTGAGTGGATTGCCTGAGCCTGCGGGTTCGAGATCCTCCTGGGCAGGCGAGACCTCATCTCTACAATAAATAAAAAAATTAGCCGGACATGGTAGCACATGCCTATAATTTCGGCTACTCGGAAGGCTGAGGCGGAAGGATCGCCGGAGCCCAGCAGGTCGAGGCTGCACGCTCCAGTCTGGGCGACAGAGCAAGACTCCAACTCAAAAAAAAAAAATTTTTTTTCAAATTATAGGCCAGGCACGGTGGCTCATGCACAGTGACTCATGCTTGTAATCCCATTGCTTTGGGAGGCCAAGACGGGAGGATTGCTTGAGGCCAGGAGTTTGAGACCAGTTTGGGCAACATAGTGAGATGAATAATAAAAATTCAAATTATAATATGGCTCTCAAGGCTTGAGGTTAATTATGACGGCTGAGACACTTGAGATGAAGTCTTTAAAATAGGGCTAGTGCCTGTCCCTATTCTAGTTCCTAAGAAGATGGAAGAAGAAGAAAGAGTTGCTTTTGTTTTGTTTTGTTTTGTTTTAGCTTCCTGGAGAAAGTAGATCTCTACCTTTCAAATGCATATTAGCACTAGGCTTGTGCATGGCACTGTGGGAGTAAAATGAAGTACACTCAAGATCGCCTTTGCCTTAAGGAACTTAGGGTCTTTTTCAGTATTTTGTTTTTATTCCAGAGGAAAAACGAGGTCGAATTTTGAGGGAAATCTTTAAGACATTGTTTTTTCCTTTTGGCAGTACCCAACTTTCATGCCTAATGTGTTCTTGAAAATGATTAAAAATAAAAAGTCTGAAGGTTGTTAAGACTTCCCAGAGAGTAACGAGTGTTGTAAAATCCCTCATCAGGCCCACACAACCTGTCAAAGAACGTGCATTCATTGACACTGGCACCCTCTAATTACCCAGTATCCTAACCCTATTCAGTCCTCTTTTACAGGAAGCACAAGCTCTGAGCAGGGCTCAGACTGTAGTCCTGCTCTAGATCAAGTCTAGGCAGATGCCTCCCCTTCCCATGGGCCCAGTGACTTTCCTTACCCTGTGTAGAGACAACGGTAGATGGAGAGTGAGCCCACAATCTTAAACCTCATTTCACAGTTGTACTGGGTGGCTGGAACACAGGGCAAGGGGTCTATCTTTGTCACACCTAAGCATGAGCCGAGTGGGATCTCTACCCCTAGTGCCCACTAACAAGCACATGACCACCTGCTGCCTGCAATTTAGTGTTCCTGTCACTCCTCACACTTCTCTCCCTCTCCCAGAGGAAGCTGGTGAGGTGAACAGACTAAGTAGCAAGGAACACCTACACTACTGACAGTCACAGATCCATGAGGAAGGCCCAGCCACCTTCCAGCATTCTGCCCTGGTTCAAACAACTCCACCTACAAGCACACTTCTACTGTATCTTTGAAGAAACCCTACCCTTTTCCCCAGTCAGGCAGAGCTGTGCCATGCATTAGAGTTTGGGTTGTATTAAAGTTGAACGTAGAGCCAGATGCAGTAGTGCATATCTATAATCTCAGCTACTAGGGAAACTGAGGCAGGAGGATCACTTGAGACCAGGAGTTCCAGGATTCAGTGCAATGATTGTGCCTGTGAATAGCTACTGTGCTCCACTCTAGGCAACAGAGTAACTTCCGTCCCAAAAATAATAATAATGAATAGGCCAGGTATGATGGCTGTGATCCCAGCACTTCGGGAGGCTGAGTTATGAGGATTGCTTGAGCTCAGTAGTTTGAGACCAGCCTGAGCAACATAGTGAGACTTCATTTCTACCAAAAAAAAAAAATGCTGAGTACAGTGGCTCACACTTGTAATTCCAGCACTTTGGGAGGCAGAGGTGAGAGAATTGCTTGAGTCCAGGGAGTTCAAGATCAGCCTGGGCAACTTAGTGAGACCTCATCTCTCAAGTAAATAAATAAATGAGCCAGGCATGATGGCATGCACCTGTAGTTCCAGCTACTTGGAAGGCTGAGGTGGAAGGATCACCTGAGCCCAGCAGGTCGGGGTTGTGGTGACCCATGATCATGCCACTACACTCCAGCCTGGGTGACAGCGTTAGACCCTGACTCAAAAAAAAAAAAAAAAAAAGTAGGAGACTGACTGTTGCATCTTACTAAGACAAAAGTGGAAGAGACTATATTTTTATTAGCAGAATGTTTACATTTATATTGAAATATACACTCAAATAGAATAAGTTCTGCTGGTCAGTGAAACTTTGCCAAAGCAAAATCACAAGCTTCCACTGGGGCAGTCCAGTCAGCTAGCAGCAGTGATCCCCAAGCAGGGACACAAAGGAGAAGCCCTCTCCAAGAAACCTCCTTTCAGAAGCCCCAACTCACTTCTCCCACATGCACCCACACAACTTTAGGAGCTTATGCATGCTCCTCATTTTCATATATTTTTAGCTTGGAAGAAACTAAATTAAATCTCTCTTTACATTGGAGATATTTTTTCTTGGCCGTAGAGGATGATGGTTGACTGTTTTCCCATATGTCATTTACCATTTTGCCATCTTCTCAGTAGGAGCTTCCCCGGCCACCCACTCACCCACACACAATTACGCACATACAGTAGGTTTTACTCTTATGGCTATAATATACCTTAGTAAAATATTGCCCAGAAACACTTGTTTCCTATAGTGATAGAGAGTGTCCTGTCTTTAAGTATTGAAACTAAGAGTGAGGGAGAAAAAGAAAAATCTTCAGAAACAAGGGTTCTAGGCATTGCTGAGTAGAACAAGAGCCATCATTCCTAAGTACTGTACTTTCCAGTTTAAGACTGGAAATTTGTTTTCAGTATGAGAAATAGGAAAGAGTAGAACAGAGAACATGAAGACTGGCAAAGTTTCAAGCTAGTTCTTTGCTTGCTGCTAGTGCTTTAGTAGCTGTGTTCTTAGTATTTCTGATATAACAAGAAGATTAACCTGTAGATAAAGCAAAACCAAAATTACCTAATTTAGGAATTACAGGCTTATCCAGCATATCTATCCATAATGCATATCTAATAGTTTTCAGGGTGGTTTCAAAAAACTTAAATAAAATCTATTTCAGTTTGTCTTTAAAAGACAGTTGCCAGTTTAAGATCGAGCTCTTACTCAACTATTAATGCTCTTGTGAATGTGTATCTGAATGAAGTTCAATTTAATGCTACAGGGGGAACACACCTGAAACGAGAGGAACAGCTTATGTGGTCTATGAAGACATCTTTGATGCCAAGAATGCATGTGATCACCTATCAGGATTCAATGTTTGTAACAGATACCTTGTGGTTTTGTACTATAATGCCAACAGGGTAAGTATAGCAAAGTTCTCATCACATGGTGAGCTCATTTGAGAATAGTGTAGACCTGTACTGTGATGGGAAATGTGTGCTGTGAGTTTCTTTTTTGGCTAGTGCTGTTGGTGAAATTCTTTTGACTGTAGATCGGTAACTGTTAACTTTGATGCTTATTACATTTCCAGGCATTTCAGAAGATGGACACAAAGAAGAAGGAGGAACAGTTGAAACTTCTCAAGGAGAAGTATGGCATCAATACAGATCCACCAAAATAAATGTTGTTTTCTATATTTTGGACTAAAACCCATGAATGACAGCCACCACTTTTTTTTTCCTTTTTAATAATTACTGAATATTGTGATTTCTTATTTGGGGTTCAAAACGAGCTGCTTAAAACTTTGATACATATTAGAATATATTATGTTAATAAACATGTAGATTTTTGTGAAATGTGTCAATATTTTCTCTTTCTCCTCCTGTTTGATACCAGGAAGAAACAACAGTTGAAGCATGTAAAGAATTGTAGGTGGTACAGGGCATGGTGGCTCACGCCTGTAATCCCAGCACTTTGGGAGGCAAAAACTAGAGGATTGTCTAAGCCCAGGGGCTCGAGACTAGCTTGGGCAACGTGGCGAGACTTCATCTCTACAATAAATCAAAATAATTAGCCAGGTGTGGTGGCTTGCGCTTGTAGTTCCAGCTAGTTGGAAGGCTGGGGTGGAAGGATCACCTGAGCCCAGCGTGCTGAGATGATGTGCCTGGTGACAAAGCGAGACTGACTCAACAAAAAATATTCCTAATGCCTGCGGTGACAAGTTCAGCACTTAGCCATCAAAGAAACTTGTTTCAGTGTTGTTTATTGAATGTCTATCAGTAATAAAGTCTTCATAACAATTCCGTGAAGATAGATATTTACTTTGTGCAGTTGAGGAAGCCAGAGCTGATCATGGTGGTTGAATAAATAAAATGCTTACATAAAAAGCTGGTGTAACAGCAACCAGTTGTTAACCAGGCCCATACATTTGAATAATGCTTGCTTTAAAGTTAACAAAACACCTTTGTCACTGTGGGTACCCTTGTCATTAGAATAGACATGTACTCTAGAAATGGTGATTTAGAGTCTAGCACGTTGTTAGAAATTTGGGTTTCCTCTTTTTTAAAATACTGTAGGCCGGGCTTGGTGGCTCAGCATATAATCCCAGCACTTTGGGAGGCTGAGGCAAGGGTTCCTGAGCCCATGGGTTCGAGACCAGCCTGGGCAACTTGGCGAGACTTCATCTCTACAATAAATCAAAAATTAGCCAGGCGCGGTAGTGTGCACTTGTAGTTCCAGCTACTTGGAAGGCTGAGGTGAAAGGATTGCCAGAGCCCAGCAGGTCGACACTGAGGTGGCTGTGAGTGTGTCACTGCACTCCAGCCTGGGTGACAGAGTGAGACTCTAACTCAAACAAAAAATTGTAATTATGTGTACATAATAATTGTGATATACTCTTAGACATTCAAGAGCAAGCTTGAATGTTGTATAATGTAGAATTTCCCTTTAGCTATTAAGCCCCAGCATATATTTTGGACGCTAGCTTATAGTTTATCTTTGCCATAATAAAATATTTAATGCTCATTTTTTTTTTTTGAGCTGGAGTCTCACTCTGTCACCCAGACTGGAGTGCAATGGCCGCTCCCGGCCACCGCAACCTCGACCTACTGGGCTCCGGCGATCCTTCCGCCTCAGCCTTCTGAGTAGCCAGAATTACAGGCATGCGCTACCACGCCTGGCTGATTTTCGATTTATTGTAGAGATGAGTCTCGCCAAGTTGCCCAGGCGGGTCTTGAACCCGCGGGTTCAGGAAATCCACTCACCTCAGCCTCCCAAAGGCGCGGGATTACAGGCTGAGCCACCGAGCCCGGCTAATGCTCATTCTTATAGTCATGAGGCCCCAAGTCATGGAAATAGTATGGTTATTGCCACACTCATCATTGCTTGGCAGTTCAAGGGAGATAGCCATAATTTTATCTTTATAGTTTAAGTGTGGGCCAAATGAAAAAAACATGGGCTAATTGTTCTGTTTATAACTGGAACTCACAATCAATTTGAAGGGTACCTACACTAAATCATTTAAATAGGCCAAGAGCATCCATTCTACCTTCCATTACATCTGAGTGTTTTTTGAAAGCACTGTAAGAGAGTAGAAAGAGGCATTTCTAAGAAGGGTGGGCAGACAAGGAAGGAACCACAGCTGTAATTTTCTTGTGAATGCTTTTATGAATGCATTATTAATTATTATAATGCATGGTGTGCCTTTAGGTAATGTAGAAAGAATTTTTCTGAAAGACTTATAAAGGAAAGACTGAAATTAGACTTACTTAGAGTGTGTGTTGTGTTAGTGGCAGACTAGCTTGCCTCTATTGTAGTAATTATAATAAGGATAAATTCCTTCTATTAGCAATTATGACCAGTCCATCATTTGGAATAATATATCTATTTGCTGAATTTCATGACCTAAAGATAAGAGTTTTAAAACTTTCCCCGAATTGTTTGGATATTTTGTAGCCTGTCCCCATTAAATTACAAGAACTTTCAGTGAACAAATACTCAGCCCCCACTCACACTGGGTCCTGTACTAAGATGCTGAGGATACAGTTACACTGAATCCTCTGTACCACATATCTAAAACTCAATTTTTTTTTGCTGGTACAGATGGATGGATTTATTAATTTTATAAATGTGTATTTGCACTTTACATTTAGAAAGAGGATTCATTCAGAAAATCACCATGGAAAGTCTTCCACTAATTGTTTTTAAGGACAATATAAATGAAATTTAAAGGATATTGACAAAAAAGAGTTGTTGAATACAAGTGATTTATATTTTCCATTAAGTCTAGGGTCCTTGTCATTTTATCACATAACCCTTCATTATCACTAAGAACAACAGAAATAACTCAATTTTTCAAACTTTTTAGGAGTGCAAATGGATGATGGTGTCCATGTATATGTATATGTGCATACACATTTGTGCCAGAGAGAAAAATTTATATGAATAGACAATGTATTGACTCTACTTGGAAGACTGAGGCAGAAGGATCACCTGAGCCCAACAGGTCGCAGCTGAGGTAGCCATGAGTGTGTCAGTGCACTCCAGCTGGGCGATGGAGTGAGACTCCCACTAAAAAGAAAATGCATTGACTGAAAAGTTTGAAAATAACAGATGTGACATAGATCTTATTAGTGCCCTCCTGCCTACAACTTCTATTGGCTCCCACAGGACCATGTCCAAACTCAGTATACCACATATTTCTTTGTTTTGTTTCATTTTTGAGTAGGGGTCTCACTCTGTCACCCAGGCTGGACTGCAGTGGCTTGCTCACGACTCTGCAACTTTGACCTCCTAGGCTCAGGCAATTTTTTCCACTTCAGCCTCCTGAGTAGCTGGGACTGCTGGCACGTGCCACCACGCCCAGCTAATTTTCTTGTTTTTTGTAGAGATTAGGCCTTACTTTGTTCCCCAGCCTAATCTTGCACTCCAGGCTGAAGCAATCCTCTCACCTCAGCCTCCAAAGTGCTGGGATTATAGGCACTTTGATTACAGGCATGACCACCACACCTGACTGGCATTGCCTTTTTGTTTTGTTTCATTATAGAGTTGTGTACAAGTGAGGGTTAACTACGTAGTAGGCCATGCGGGTAAAGTTTGGGCATCTAACTGTCCCTCACTCCCCCTGGTAGTGGACCAGGTACGCTTTGTGTTGTCACATGCCTCCCACCCTCTTCCCTTCCTTCTTCCCCTAGCAGTGCCCAGCAACTGCCAGTCTCACCCTTGTGCTAACATGACTAGTGTTCAGGGCCCACTTATGAGTGAGAACACGCAGTATTCAGTTCTTTGTTTCTGTGGTGGTTCACTTAGTGTAATAGTCTCCAACTCCATCCAAGTCGCTGTGAAATCCATGATTCTGCATCAATCTTTTAAGAGCTCCCTTAAAATGGTCCATTTCTCAGTTTACCTGCAAAACCCCTGTGGGTGGTTTAAAACAAGGCAGCTACGTTCTCATGACATTTTTCTTCATCCTAAAGCACTGCTTCCTCATTAACTCCTCAACCCTCAGCAGACAAATACAGCCAGGCTTCGGAGATAAAACGGGTGGATGGGCCGGGCTCGGTGGCTCAGCCTGTAATCCCAACATTTTGGGAGGCTGAGGCGAGTGGATTGCCTGAGTCCGTGGGTTCAAGACCCACCTGGGCAACTTGGCAAGACCTCATCTCTACAATAAAGCAAAAATTAGCCGGGCGTGGTAGCGCGCGCCTGTAGTTATGACTACTTGGAAGGCTGAGGCGGAAGGATTGCAGGATCCCAGCAGGTTGAGGCTGCGGTGGCCGGGAGTGGCACTCCAATCTGGGCAACAGAGTGAGACTCCAACTCAAAAAAAAAGGGGGGTGGTGGTGGATGAAGTAGCCAAGTTGACATGGCCTTATAGCACATATATGATATCAGGTGACATGTGCCAGTGCATCTATGAAGAAGACTAGCAGGGCCTGTTATCAGCCCTTCCCTCGGTCTTGAAACAATTCCAAGTCACTGATAGGCTAACCCTGACTCTGGCTGAGTTCTCTCCCTGTGCCAACCAACTAAAAGAGACATCTCAGCCACGTTGCCCCAGGTTCCTTCGACCTACACACAACCCACACCAGTGAGTGGGTTGATTTAAAAACCCAACTGGAAACCGGGCTCGGTGGCTCAGCCTGTAATCCCGCGCCTTTGGGAGGCTGAAGTGAGTGGATTGCCTGAGCCCGCGGGTTCGAGACCCGCCTGGGCAGCGAGACCTCATCTCTACAATAAATCAAAAAATCAGCCGGGCGTGGTAGTGCATGCCTGTAATTCTGGCTACTCGGAAGGCTGAGGCGGAAGGATCGCCGGAGCCCAGCAGGTCGAGGCTGCGGTGGCTGGGAGCGGCCACTGCACTCCAGTCTGGGCAACAGAGTGAGACTCCAACTCAAAATAAATAAATAAATAAATAAAATAAAATAAAATAAAATAAAAACCCAACTGGGAAACCTGGCACGGTGGCTCACGCCTGTAATCACAGCACTTTGGAAGGCAGAAGTGAGAGGATTGCTTGAGCTCAGGGGTTTGAGACCAGCCTGGGCAACTTGGCGAGACCTGGTCCCTACAATTAAAAAAAAAAAAATTAGCCAGATGTGGTGGCACACACCTGTAGTTCCAGCTACTTGGAAGGCTGAGGCAGAAGGATTGCCTGAGCCCAGCAGGTCGAGGTTGTGGTGGCCGTGAGCATGCCACTGCATTCCAGCCTGGTCAACAGAGTGAGACTCCAACTCAAGGAAAAAAAAAAAACTCCAACTGGAGAATCTGTCAGTTACCATAAGTGTTGATGAAATGAGTACTATATGCGGAAACAAATTCAAAATCATATATTCTCAGAAGCAGTTCCCCGATGTAAGTTAGAGCAAATCTTGATGAACTAAGCGGCAAATGTGAAAACAAGCTCACAATCACGCATTCTTTGCAGAAATGACTTCCCAGTGTGAGTTAGCGTATGGTGCCAAGCCTTTGACACACCTTCATTTGTTCAGATGCACAAAGTGTTCTGTTTCCATCTGGGTGAGGAGAGTTCATCCCTCTTAACCCTAATCCAGACAAATAGAGATTGCAAGATCATGTAAGGTGCTCAAATCCCACATTTGATTGCTAGGCTGCAGGATCTGAACACTGTATTTCTTTAGTTACAGGTGAATTCTGAGCCTGTGTGATGACTGGCAGTTAGAGAATTAGTGATGATACGATTTAAAAGAATATAGAGCACGGCCCAGCATGGACAATGCTCATGTTGTAGCCATTGTATTTGTTATCACTCTCCTAGCCACTGGGAACCCTCCTTTCTGCTCTTTTTCCCGAGGGCAACTCGCTTGTGTGGTCCTTAAAGTACTTTCTCCCTACAATAAGGACGGACAGAAATTTGCCAAGCACAGAGCCTTTATTTCACATATTATTTCCAAAGGGAACATTGTTGAAGTGAGCAGCCAACAGATTTATAAGAGAGAAAGTGACAGCAAAGGTAACTGGCTCAAGTCCCTCTGTGTACACCATGTACGTTTCATGTCTGAGCACCTTGTGTGTCTGGCTTAAGTGAAGGTAAGGCAGTGTAGATTGTGCAAACGAGAAATCCGCGTTCTGGGGGTCAGGGATGGCTACTACATGCATCACACAAAATGCACGACCTGAAATGTTTCGATCTGCAACCGAAGTTTTCCTCAAGCAAGGATGCGCATGAGCAGTGGCGAACACATACAGAGCAACGTGGGCGGAGAGGCTGGATGATGCTGGGGGGCAGTGAGGCGAGCGCACTGATCAAGAGCCCCAGACAGGAGGAGCCGTCCCAGTGGCAGAGCAGGCTGGGAGGGGAGCAGCAACCGTCTCCAGCCACCTCGAGTTCCTTCCTGCCTTCACTCTAAGTTGAGCAGCTCCACGTCAAAGATGAGGGTGGCATTGGGAGGGATGACACCGGGGTGGCCCGTGGCTCCATATGCCACATCAGGGGTGCAGGTCAGCTTCGCCCTCTGCCCCAAGCTCATCTAGCAGGGATGGGGGCAGATGGGGAGAGGAGAAAGAGGACCCAGCTTGATTTAAAAGAAAAAAGTGAGATGACTATGGCATTTTCCCAAACCATCCTCGTGTTAGCTCTGAAGATCTGAGATGAAGTTTACATGTGGCACGTTAAAATGGTGCCACATGCAGACTCTGCCTCAGAAGAGCAGAGACTTGACTGTGGGACACTGATCTCCACGAAGTGGGCTCAAATGTGTTCGTCTGGCAAACATTACTGGTTACTCCTTTTGCATATGGCCCAAATACTTCTGTTTGTTCATAATTGCTCCTCACCCTCTTCCAAAGAAGCCTAAAGAGGGTGTGGAAATAGCACACATACACACTCAAGCAGATGACAGGAGCAGTTCATTAAGGAGGCTCAGAGATTAAGGCCACAGCAAGGTGACGAGGGCTAAGAGACCCATTGTAGTGGAGCATCCTATGACTTCATGAACAGACTAAGAAAGAGGAGCATGAACCAGGCTCATCACAGCAGGCATCAAGAACCCACTTGGCATTAGTGGGACAACTGGTGACATTTAAATAGATTGAACTTTGAATCTTAAACAATTAAGAATGCGACACCAGGCACGATAGCTCACGCCTGTAATCCCAGCACTTTGGGAGGCAGAGGCAAGAGAATTGCCTGAGCCCATGGGTTCGAGACCAGCCTGGGCAACATGGTGAGACTACGTCTCACCAATAAATAAAAAAATTAGCCAGGCGTGGTGGTGCATGCCTGTAGTTCCAGCTACTTGGAAGGCTGAGGTGGAAGGAGTCCAGCAGGTCGAGGCTGCGGTGGCTGTGAGCGTGCCACTGCACTCCAGCCTGGACAACAGAATGAGACTCTGACTCAGGGGGAAAAAAAGAATGTGAATAGGTTGAGTAATAGTATCAAAACAATGTGAATGTCTCAGTTTGGGTCATTGTATGCAATTGTATGCAATTGTATAACATGGCTATGCAAGATGTTATCATGCGGGAAGGCTGGATAGAGTGTACAGGAACTCTATTGTTTTTGCAGTATTTCTGTAAGCTTGAAATTGTTTCCAAAGAGTTAAAAATAAAAATAAAAAATAACTGGGCCAGGCACAGTGGCTCATGCCTGTAATCCCAGCATTTTGAGAGGCTGAGATGAAAGGATTGCTCGATCCCAGGAGTTCAAGTTCAGCCAAGGCAACATAGTGAGACCTCGTCTCTACAAAAAATAAAAAACTTAGTCAGGCATGGTGGTGCACACCTGTAGTCCCAGCTATTTGGGAGGCTGAGGCAGAAGGATCACCTGAGCCCAGGAGGTTGAGGGCAGCAGTGAGTGGTGATTGTGCCACTGCCCTCAAGCATGGGGGAAAGAGTGAGACTGACTCAAAAACAAAAAAACCTTCTTAGTCTACCCATCCCAATTCTTCTGCTGCCTCAGTCTCAGCTGGTAGACCTCAGCTATGTCCAAGCAAGTCCAGGGTGTGTGCTTGGGATGGAAGTCCCCAGTGACACAAAAGAGGCCTGCTGGCAAGGAGAGGGGTGGGGACACAAAGCCAGGAGTGAACACTAGATGGCGATGCCATGCCCTGGCAGTAGAGCCCAGAAGTAGTGACCTGTGTAGGTTGAGAGGAGAGGTGGAAGACAGAGCACAGAGCCTGATCCGAACTCCTCAAATCCCCTTTCCTGCATATCTCTTCCTACCTGGGCTGCTCCTTCTTCAAAACCTTTGATGACTTCCTGTTTGCCAATTCTGAACTTGAAAGGTTTGTTTCTGTCTCTGGATGAATCGAATTTCTTCCCATTCTGGAGCATTCCTGTCAAAGCAAGAACAGGGTGCAAAAGAGCTGTGGTCATGAGTGAACTCCCAATTCAGATTACACATGTGTAAAGCAGAATTCCTGTTTGGAGCTGGGTGTGGTGGCTCATGCCTGTAATCCCAGCACTTTGGGAGGCAGAGGTGAGAGGACTGCCCAAGTCCAGGGATTTGAGACTAGTCTGGGCAACTTGGGGAGACCTCATCTTTACAATAAAAAAAAATTAAGCCGGGCTCGGTGGCTCAGCCTGTAATCCCGCGCCTTAGGGAAGCTGAGGTGAGTGGATTGCCTGAGCCCGCGGGTTCGAGACCCGCCTG